AATTCCTGGGGTTTGCACCGGGATTTGGGACAATTCCCGCTTTTTTGGCAATTCCTGGGAATTCCTGGGGTGTGGAGCCGGGATTCGGGACAATTCCCGCTTTTCTGGGAATTCCCGGGGTTTGCACCGGGATTCGGGACAATTCCTGGAATTCTCTGGGATTCTCGGGGTTTGCGCCGGGGTTTGGGACAATTCCCGATTTTCTGGGATTTCCTGGCAATTCCTGGGGTTTCCTGGGAATTCCAGGGGTTTGCACCGGGATTCGGGACAATTCCCGCTTTTCTGGGATTCCCGGGGTTTGCACCGGGGTTTGCACCGGGATTTGGGACAATTCCCGCTTTTCTGGGATTTCCTGGGAATTCCTGGGGTGGAGCCGGGGTTTGCACCGGGGTTTGAGACAATTCCCGCTTTTCTGAGACTTCCCGGGAATTCCTGGGGTTTGCGCCGGGATTCGGGACAATTCCCGCTTTTCTGGCAATTCCTGGGGTGGAGCCGGGGTTTGCACCGGGATTTGGGACAATTCCTGCGTTTCTGGGAATTCCTGAGATTCCTGGGGCTGGGGAGGGACGAGGTTTGCACCGGGACTTGGGACAATTCCCGCTTTTCTGCGAATTCCTGGGATTTCCTGGGATTCCCGGGGTTCGCACCGGTTTTTGGGACAATTCCCGCTTTTCTGCGAATTCCTGGGATTTCCTGGATTTCTCTGGGATTCCCGGGGTTCGCACCGGTTTTTTGGGACAATTCCCTCTTTCCTGGCAATTCCCGGGTTTCTCTGGGATTCCCGGGATTCGCACCGGTTTTTGGGACAATTCCCGGGTTTTCCCGGGATTCCCGGGGTTCGCACCGGTTTTTTGGGACAATTCCCGGGTTTCTCTGGGATTCCCGGGGTTCGCACCGGTTTTTGGGGACAATTCCCTCTTTCCTGGCAATTCCCGGGAATTCCCGGGGTTCGCACCGGTTTTTTGGGACAATTCCCGCTTTTCTGGGAATTCCCGGGTTTCCCTGGGATTCCCGGGGTTCGCACCGGTTTTTTGGGACAATTCCCGGGTTTTCCCGGGATTCCCGGGGTTCGAACCGGTTTTTGGGACAATTCCCGCTTTCCTGGCAATTCCCGGGTTTTCCCGGGATTCCCGGGGTTCGCGCCGGTTTTTTGGGACAATTCCCGGGTTTCTCTGGGATTCCCGGGGTTCGCACCGGTTTTGGGGACAATTCCCGCTTTCCTGGCAATTCCCGTGTTTCTCTGGGATTCCCGGGGTTCGCACCGGTTTTTGGGACAATTCCCGCTTTTCTGGGATTTCCTGGGATTCTCTGGGATTCCCGGGGCGTGGAGCCGGCGTTTGGGACAATTCCCGCTTTTCTGGGATTTCCTGGGAATTCCCGGGGTGTGGAGCCGGGATTCGGGACAATTCCCGGGTTTCTCTGGCAATTCCCGGGGTTCGCACCGTTTTTTTGGGACAATTCCCTCTTTCCTGGCAATTCCCGGGAATTCCCGGGGTTCGCACCGGTTTTTTGGGACAATTCCCGGGTTTCCCTGGGATTCCCGGGGTTCGCACCGGTTTTTTGGGACAATTCCCGCTTTCCTGGCAATTCCCGGGTTTCTCTGGGATTCCCGGGGTTCGCACCGGTTTTTTGGGACAATTCCCTCTTTCCTGGCAATTCCCGGGAATTCCCGGGGTTCGCGCCGGTTTTTGGGACAATTCCCGGGTTTTCCCGGGATTCCCGGGGTTCGCACCGGTTTTTTGGGACAATTCCCTCTTTCCCGGCAATTCCCGGGATCCCCCCCGCGCACATCTGGCGCTCAGTCCCGCCCCTCCCCGCTCCAGATGTTCCGGGATCACCGGGAGCGGCCGGGAATTGCTCTCACCCCATTAATCCCCCCCTAATGAGGGGGAAAATCGGGAATATGGCCCCGAGCGGTGCCATAAACGCGGTGATTGCCCCGGAGCACGCACCGTGAAGATCCCGGGATAAGAATTCCCGCTTTTCCCGGTGCTCCCGGGCACGGCCCGGCCCGGACGGGAACGGGAACGGCGCTAATTGGGCCCCCCCGGGTGGGTAATTAGCGCCTAATGGCCCTTAATGAGCAATAACGGCGGCGGCTTATGGGGAATAACGGGGATAATGGGGAATAATGGGGTATCCATGGAGAGGGGATTGGATATGGGGAATAACGGGGAATAATGGGGAATAACGGGGAATAATGGGGAATAATGGGGAATAATGGGGTATCCATGGAGAGGGGAATGGGGAATAATGGGGAATGGGGTATCCATGGAACGGGGAATGGGAATGGGGAATAATGGGGAATAATGGGGTATCCATGGAGCAGGGAATGGGAATGGGGAATAATGGGGGAATGGGGTATCCATGGAGAGGGGAATGGGATTGGGAATGGATATGGGGAATAATGGGGGAATAATGGGGGAATGGGGTATCCATGGAGAGGGGAATGGGAATGGGAATGGGGAATAATGGGGAATGGGGTATCCATGGAGCGGGGAATGGGGAATAATGGGGGAATGGGAATGGGGAATAATGGGGAATAATGGGGGAATGGGGTATCCATGGAGCGGGGAATGGGATTGGGAATGGGGAACAATGGGGGAATAATGGGGAATAATGGGGTATCCATGGAGCGGGTAATGGGGAATAATGGGGGAATGGGGTATCCATGGAACGGGGAGTGGGGAATGGGAATGGATATGGGGAACAATAGGGGAATGGGGTATCCATGGAGTGGGGAATGGGATTGGGAATGGGGAACAATGGGAATGGGGAACAATGGGGGAATGGGGTATCCATGGAGAGGGGAATGGGATTGGGGTATCCATGGAGTGGGGAATGGGAAATAATGGGGGAATGGGAATGGGGTATCCATGGAGCGGGGAATGGGATTGGGATATGGGGAACAATGGGGGAATGGGGAATGGGAATGGGGTATCCATGGAGCGGGGAATGGGAATGGGATATGGGATCTGAGAATGGAGAATGGGATTGGGAATGGGAATGGGATTGGGGTATCCATGGAGCAGGATATGGGATTGGGGTATCCATGGAGTGGGGTGGGATTGGGATATGGGATTGGGAATGGGGAATGGGATCTGGGAATGGGATTGGGAATGGGGAATTGGAGCAGGATGAGATATGGGATTGGGATCTGGAAATGGGATTGGGAATGGGGTATCCATGGAGCGGGGTGGGATATGGGATCTGGGAATGGGGAATGGGATTGGGAATGGGGTATCCATGGAGCAGAATGGGATTGGGATCTGGGAATGGGATCTGGGATTGGGATCTGGGAATGGGGTCCATGGGGCAGGATGGGATCTGGGATATGGGATGTGGGATTGGGGTATCCATGGAGCAGGGAGAGCCTCTCCTGGGATGGGATCTGGGAATGGGGTGTCCATGGCAATTCCTAAATGAGATTTGGGAATCCCAAACTGGATCTGCCCCTCTCCATCCCATTTTTGGGGAGCAAACGCTGGATTTGGGGCTGGCAGGCGCCTGAAATCCGAGGATTCACCAAAGAAGGAGCAGGCTGGGGTTTTTTCCATGGCAAAAATGGGAATTCTGGGGGGGGGTTTTCCATGGAGTCAGGGCCCCATTAATGCCCCGATGCAGAAATGTTTAATTGCCATTAATGTCAATATTTTCCGAGGTGATTTCCTGCTGGGAATGGCCCCAGTTCCCGGCTGGATTTCCTGGATACCCTCGGGAGTGGGGATAAAAACGGCCCCGAGCGGCCCCGGGGCCTCAGAGCTGCTGGGAACCCGCACAGGGAGGTGAGAAATCCCGGGAAAAGGGGAAATTTGGGGAGAAATGCTGGAATTGTGGGGGGAAATGGGAGCTACAGGGGGAAAATGGGAATTTCTGGGGGAGAAATTGGAATTTCATGGGAAAAAATTGGAATTACAGGGGGAAAATGGGAATTTGTGGGGGAAATTGGAAATCCAGGGAGAAATGGGAACTACAGGGGAAAATGGGAATTTCTGAGGAAAATTGGAATTCCATGGAAAAAAACTGGAACTACAGGGGAAAATGGGAATTTCTGGGGGAAAATTGGAATTCCAGGGAGAAATGGGAACTACAGGGAGAAATGGGAATTTCTGGGAAAAATTGGAATTCCAGGGAGAAATGGGAACTACAGGGAGGAATGGGAATTCTGGGGGAAATGGGAACTACAGGGGGAAATGGGAATTTCTGGGGGAAAATTGGAATTCCAGGGAGAAATGGGAACTACAGGGGGAAATGTGAATTTGTGGGGGAAAATTGGAAATCCAGGGAGAAATGGGAATTTCTGGGGAAAATTGGAATTCTAGGGAGAAATGGGAACTACAGGGGGAAAATGGGAATTTCTGGGGGAAAATTGGAATTCCAGGGAGAAATGGGAACTACAGGGGGAAATGGGAATTTCTGGGGAAAATTGGAATTCCAGGGAGAAATGGGAACTACAGGGAAGAATGGGAATTCTGGGGGAAATGGGAACTACAGCGAGAAATGGGAATTTCTGGGGGAAAATTGGAATTCCAGGGAGAAATGGGAATTCTGGGGGAAGTGGGAATTCTGGGAAACACGTGAATTCCAGGGAGAAATGGGAATTTTGGGAAATACGGGAATTCCAGGGGAAAAATAGGAATTCCGTGGGGAAAAAAAAATAAAATTAAATTAAAAAAAAAAAGGGAATTTCTGGGAAAATTGTTATACTGGGGGAAATGGGAATTGCGCAGGGAAAATGGGAATTGCGCGGGGAAAATGGGAATTGCAGAGGGAAAATGGGAATTGCAGAGGGAAAATGGGAATTGCAGAGGGAAAATGGGAATTCTGGCTCTGTCTCTCTGTGGCCCTGGGGCGGGGAAGGGGGGGAATTGTCCCGGGGCGCTCCCGCCGTGAATTGGGAGCGCTCGGGGAGCGGAGCGGGGCCGGAACCGCATCCCGGGCGCGCCGCAGGTGCCGGAGATCGCGGAGATCCCGAGGGAATCCCGGCCGGGAGGAGCAAAATGGCCCCGAGGGCGCTGCGGGCGCTGCCGCTGCTGCCGCTGCTGCTGCTGCTGGCCCGGATGGGAGCGGCGGGCGCGGAGGAGAGCGCGGGGTGAGCGGGGAACGGGAACGGGAACCGGGGAACCGGGAATGGGAACCGGGAACGGGGAATGGGAATGGGAACCGGGAATGGGAACCGGGAACGGGGAACGGGAACGGGAACCAGGAATGGGAACGGGAACGGGGTGAGCGGGGACGGGAACCGGGAACCGGGAATGGGAACGGGGTGAGCGGGGAACGGGGTGAGCGGGGACGGGAACGGGAACCGGGAATGGGAACGGGAACCGGGAATGGGAACGGGGTGAGCGGGGACGGGAATGGGAACCGGGGAACCGGGAATGGGAACGGGGTGAGCGGGGACGGGAACCGGGAATGGGAACGGGAAACCGGGAACGGGGTGAGCGGGGACGGGAACCGGGAACGGGAACGGGGAACCGGGAATGGGAACCGGGAACGGGGAACGGGAATGGGAACCGGGAACGGGAATGGGAACCGGGAATGGGAACCGGGAATGGGAACGGGGTGAGCGGAGAACGGGAACCGGGAACCGGGAACGGGGAACGGCCCGGGGTGAGCGGGGACCAGGAACGGGAACGGGAACGGGGAACGGCCCGGGTTGAGCGGGGGACGGGAACCGGGAACGGCCCGGGGTGAGCGGGGAACGGGAACCGGAACCGGGAACGGGAACGGCCCCGGGCTGAGCGGGGAACTTCCCCGGGGTGAGCGGGGAACGGGAACCGGGAACGGGAACGGCCCCAGGATGAGAGAGGGACCAGGACCGGGAACCGGGACCGGGAACGGCCCGGGATGAGCGGGGACCGGGAACCGGGAACGGGGAACCGGGAGCGGCCCCGGGGTGAGCAGGGAACGGGAACCCGGAATGAGGAACCGGGAACGGCCCCGGGGTGAGCGGGGACCGGGACCGGGGAGCCCGGAGCCTTCTCGTGCCCCTCGGGGCGGAGTCCATGGGTTTGGGGCGGGATCCCCGGATCAGCCCCAAATCCAGGGAATCCGCCCCAAACGCACGGGATCAGCCCCCGCTGTCTCCCTGTCCCCCTGTCCGTCTGTCCCCGCTGTCCCCCTGTCCGTCTGTCCCCGCTGTCCCCCTGTCCGTCTGTCCCCCTGTCCCCGCTGTCCCCGTGACCCCGCTGTCCCCGCTGTCCCCCTGAGCCCGTGTCCCCCTGCCAGCCCGTCTGTCCCCGCTGTCCGTCTGTCCCTCTGTCCCCGCTGTCCCCCTGACCCCGCTGTCCCCCCGCCAGCCCGTCTGTCCCCGCTGTCCCCCTGTCCCCGCTGTCCGTCTGTCCCCGCTGTCCCCGCTGTCCCCCTGACCCCGTGTCCCCCTGCCAGCCCGTCTGTCCCCGCTGTCCGTCTGTCCCGCCGTTACTCCGAGGCCACCCTGGCCAGCGATTACAGCCGCACCATGGACCACGTCCTGCGCAAGAACTTCGTGGAGTGGCTGCTGGCCCGGCGCGAGAGGAAAAGGCAGTGAGCTCCTGCTCCCAAAGCCCCCGAGCCCGCATTCCCAATTCCGCAGCCTCTGGGTCCCCCAATTCCCCAATTCCAGAATCCCTGAGTTCCTGAATCCCCACATCCCCCAATTCCTCAATTCCCAAATCCCTGAATCCCAAACTCCCCACTTCCCAAAGTCCCCACATCCCCCAATTCCCAATCCCTGAGTTCCCGAATCCCTGAGTTCCCGAATTCCCCAATTCCCGAATCCCTGAATCCCAAACTCCCCTCTTCCCAAAGTCCCCACATCCCCCAATTCCCAATCTCTCCAGTTCCCAAATTCCCCAGTTCCCAATTCCCGAATCCCCAAATTTCCCAATTCCCCGAACTCCCAAATCCTGCAAATTCTCGAATTCCCCGAGTCCTGAACTCCCCAATTTCCCGAATCCCTCAATTCCCGAATTTCTGAGTCCCTCAATTCCCAAATTCCTCAATCTTCCCAACCCCCCCCAATTCCCGACCTCCCTGAATCTTGAATTCCCAAATTCCCCAATTCCAGAATCCCCAATTTCCCAATTCCCTGATTCCCAAACTCCCGAATTCCCGAACCCCCAAACTCCCCAGTTCCCCAATTCCTGAACCCCCAAACTCCCCGAATCCCCAATTCCTGAACCCCCAAACTCCCCAATTCCCCAATTCCAGAATCCCCAATCCCAAATTCCCCAAATCCCCAAACTCCCCAATTCCCGAATCCCCAAACTCCCCGAATCCCCAATTCCCGAACCCCCAAACTCCCCAATTCTCCTATTCCCGAATCCCCAATCCCAAATTCCCCAAATTCCCAAACTCCCCAATTCCCGAACCCCCAAACTCCCCAATTCCCGAATCCCAAATTCCCCAATCCCCCAATTCCCGAACCCCCAAACTCCCCAATTCCCCAATTCCAATATCCCCAATTCCCGAATCCCCAATCCCAAATTCCCCAAATTCCCCAATTCCCGAACCCCCAAACTCCCCGAATCCCCAATTCCCGAACCCCCAAACTCCCCAATTCTCCTATTCCCGAATCCCCAATCCCAAATTCCCCAAATTCCCAAACTCCCCAATTCCCGAACCCCCAAAATCCCCAATTCCCGAATCCCCAATTCCCAATTCCCGAACCCCCAAACTCCCAATATCCCCAATCCCAAATTCCCCAAACTCCCCAATTCCCCAATTCCTGAACCCCCAAACTCCCCAGATCCCAAACTCCCCGAATCCCCAATTCCCGAACGCCCAAACTCCCCAAATCCCCAAATTCCCGAACCCCCAAAATCCCCAATTCCCCAATTCCAGAACCCCCAAAATCCCCAATTCCCCAATTCCAGAACCCCCAAAATCCCCAGATCCCAAACTCCCGAACCCCCAAACTCCCCCGTTCCCAAATCCCAGCGTCCCTGGTGTTTTTCCCTCTTTGGAATTGGGATTTTCCCATCTTTTCCCCAACCCCTTTTCCCACCCCTCCCTCCCTCCGGGATTTCTGGCGCAGCGGGATCCTGGCACCCTCTGCTGGATTTTTGGGATCACCTCGGGAATTTTCCCATTTTTTTTCCCCCTTTTCCTTTCCCAGCGACAGCGCGGAGCTGCTCAGGAGGGAGGCAGAGCCCCCAAAAGGGGCCGGGGATGGGGAAAATTCGGATTTGGGAGCTCCGGGAGCCAAAGGGCTCCCGGGATGGCTCGGGAAAAACCGGGAAAAGCAGAGGTGAGGCGGGAAGGGAAAGCGGGATGGGGGAATTTGGGGTTTCTGTGGGAATTTGGGGTGGTTTTATGGAAATTCGGGGTATTTGGGGGTTTTTTAAAGGAAATTTAGGGTATTTTTGGGGGTTTTTTAAAGGAAATTTAGGGTATTTTTGGGGTTTCTTTAAACGGAATTTGGGGGAGCAGTTGGAAATTTGGGTTATTTTTGAGGGGTTTATTAATGGAATTCAGGGATTTGTTGGGTTTTTAGTGGAAATTTGGGTTATTTTTGAGGGGTTTATTAATGGAATTCAGGGATTTGTTGGGTTTTTAATGGAAATTTGGGTTATTTTTGAGGGTTTTTTTAATGGAATTCAGGGATTTGTTGGGTTTTTAATGGAAATTTGGGTTATTTTTGAGGGGTTTATTAATGGAATTCGGGGATTTGTTGGGTTTTTAGTAGAAATTTGGGTTATTTTTGAGGGGTTTGTTAATGGAATTCGGGGGATTTGTTGGGTTTTTAGTGGAAATTTGGGGGATATTGGGGATTTTTTTTAAAAATGGAATTCGGGGATTTGTTGGGATTCGTGCAGGATTTGGGGGTGTTTTGGTGGGTTTTTTATGGAATTCGGGGGATTTGTTGGGTTTTTAATGGAAATTTTGGGGTTTTTTTTAATGGAATTAGGGGATTTGTTGGGATTTGTACAGAATTCCAGGGTGTTTTGGGGTTTTTAATGGAATTTGGGAGGATTTGTTGTGTCTTGTACTGAATTTTGGGGATTGGTTGTGTTTTGTACACAATTTTGGGATTTTTTTTGCTGTTATTTTTAAGGAATTTCAGGATATTTGTAATTTTTACACTTTTCCATGAAAACACCCCCAGAAATGAGGTTTGGAGGTGGGGGACAGGAGCCGATTTTGGGTTCCCAGAGGGTTTTGAGGCCTAACCCTCAGAAAACCCCATACCAGGATTCCCAAAACCCAAAGAATTTCCCCATTTCCAGACGAAATTCAACCTTTTGGGGTCTTTATCCCATCAGGAAATATTAAAACCCAACAAAATTGAATTCAGGACTGGGAGAAGGGGATGCTAAAACAGGATATTTTTTTTCCCCTTTAATTCTGTTTTCACTGAATTTTTAAATATTCAATTAAATTAGTTAAAAATAAAATTAATTAAAATTAATTAAAATATTAATTAATGTTAAAATATTATTTTATTTTTGCAGTTTTCCAGCTCTGGAAGGCTCCGAGGGCCTGAGGGAATTTTGGGAGCAGGAATTCCTGACGTGGCTGATGTCGGGCGAGCTCTGCAGGGCCACGTGAGTCCCTGGAAAGCCCAAAAAGCCCCCAAAATTCTGGGGTTTTTTTTGGGATCACACTCCCAGAGGAATCCCCAGGGGGAATTTTTAGGAATTTTGGGGTTTTTCTTCCCTGCCAGGGCTGCGTAGCTCCAGGATTTCCATGGAATTACCACAGGCATGGCGGGAGGAGCAGGATTTTACCCGTGGTGAAATAAAGGAGAAATAACAATAACAATAATAATAAAGGAGTTATTATATAAAAAAAGGAGTTTAACCCCGAGCTGAAATGTGACGTTTCTGACCCCACTGAACCCTTCCTGGTCCTACAGAACCTTCTCTGATCCCAAAAAATCTTCTCAGGTCCCACAGAACATTTCTGGACACAAAAATCCTTCCCAGATCCCACAGAACACTTCCCGGTGCCACAAACCCCCTCTAACCCCACAAACCCCCTCTAACCCCACAAACCCCCTCTAACCCCACAAACCCTCTCCTCACCCGGCCTCTTCCTCCCTCCGGACTCTCCCTCACCCCAAACCCTCCCTCACGGCCATAGGCCCCGCCCCTTCCCGCCCACCTCCAGATTGACAGCTGCCTCACCCAATCACCGAGCTCCCCCGTCCTCAACCCACCAATCACCACCCGCGTCCCCGCCCCTCCCCACCCTCCTCCTTCCCGCCATGGCCGGATGCGGGGAGGCGGGGTTTCCTCGGCGCTCGGCCAATGGGGAGGGCGGGCGGGGGCGCGCGCGCGCGGCGGCAGCCAATGGGCGCGGAGGACGCCGGGGGGACACGGCCAAGGTGACGCTGCCCACAGAGCTGCCGCCGCCGCCGGCCCGAGCGGACCCCGCGCAGGTGGGACCCGGCCCGGCCCGGCCCGCCCGTCCCGCGGCTCCCGGCGCTCCTGGACAGAGCCGCGGGCCCGGCCGGTGCTGCTGGGGTGGTGCCCTTCGCTGCCCGGCGGGCGGTGGGGCCTGCGCTGCCCGGGGCAGGCACCGAGCGGGGATTAACGGGGAGGGAGGGAAGGAGGACACGGGGCCGTGCGAGGGCTGAGGGGACAGCCGGGGACACGGAGGGGACGGGGGGGCAAAGCCTCGGGGACACGGAGAGGTTAAAGCCTTGGGGACACAGTGAGGACGAAACCTTGGGGACACGGGGGTTAAAGCTTTGGGGACAGTTGGGGATACAGTGGGGTTAAAGCTTTGGGGACAACTGGGGACACGGTGGGGTTAAAGCTTTGGGGACAGCCAGGGACATGGTGGGGTTAAAACCTTGGGGACAACTGGGGACACGGGAGGTAAAACCTTGGGGACACAGTGGGGTTAAATCCTTGGGGACATTTGGGACACAGTGGGGTTAAATCCTTGGGGACATTTGGGACACAGTGGGGTTAAATCATTGGGGACATTTGGGACACGGTGGGGTTAAATCCTTGGGGACATTTGGGACACTATGGGGTTAAATCCTTGGGGACGTGGTGGGGTTAAAGCCCCGGGGACAGTTGGCAACAAAAGTGGGGTTAAATCCTTGGGGACATTTGGGACACAGTGGGGTTAAATCCTTGGGGACACAGTGGGGTTAAATCCTTGGGGACATTTGGGACACTATGGAGTTAAATCCTTGGGGACATTTGGGACACTATGGAGTTAAATCCTTGGGGACACAGTGGGGTTAAATCCTTGGGGACACAGTGGGGTTAAATCCTTGGGGACATTTGGGACACAGTGGGGTTAAATCCTTGGGGACATTTAGGACACAGTGGGGTTAAATCCTTGGGGACACAGTGGGGTTAAAGCCCAGCACGGTCAGTGGGACAAAGCCCTGGGGACACAGAGCCGTGCTGGGGACACAACCTTGGGGCCAGTGCCCCGTGCTGGGGACACAGAGGAGCTCAGGGCTGTGGTGACCCCGCAGGGCTGGCCTGCTCACAGCAGCACCCGAATCCTGCTGGTTTGGTTTAAATTCATTTATTTGTGATTTCTGCGGTTTTGTGTTGCAGACCCAGCACAATGCAGGCTCCCGTGGCGCTCCTCAGCTCCCCGGCGCTGGTAGGTGCTGCCCTGGCAGGGAATTCCCGGTGGGAATTATTGGGGAATTGGGGATTTGGGGGGTTCCTCCCCTCCGTTCCCCCTGGCTGGGCTGGGATCTGGGCAGGTTCAGCGCCTGGCTTTGAGCAGGGAGGGGACAAGGTGACCTCTGGTGACACATGTGAGTGGCTGGCACCGAGCTCAGCCCGGGGCTGCTCCCAGCAGCAGGGCAGGGCTCCCTTGGGTCGCTCAGGAATCCCCTCCTTTCCTGGGAGAAAATGGGGGGAAAAATGGGAATAATGGGATTTCTGGGGCTGGCACCTCGCTGTGCTCGGCCTGGGGGGTGTGGGGTTGGTCTGAGGGGCTGGAACAGAAACAGCCCCACTGATAACCCCTTATTGTCCAGTTTGGGTACATTTGGGGTGTTTTAGGGGGATTTCAATGCTGGAACAGAAACAGCCCCATTGATAACCCCTTATTGTCCAGTTTGGGTACATTTGGGGTGGTTTAGGGGGATTTCAAAGGGGATTTCAATGCTGGAACAGAAACAGCCCCACTGATAACCCCTTGTTGTCCAGTTTGGGTACATTTGGGGTGTTTTAGGGGGATTTCAGTGCTGGAACAGAAACACCCCATTGATAACCCCTTATTGTCCAGTTTGGGTACATTTGGGGTGGTTTAGGGGCATTTCAAAGGGGATTTCAGTGCTGGAACACAAACACCCCATTGATAACCCCTTATTGTCCAGTTTTGGGTACATTTGGGGTGTTTTGGGGGGATTTCAGTGCTGGAACAGAAACACCCCATTGATAACCCCTTATTGTCCAGTTTGGGTACATTTGGGGTGTTTTGGGGGGATTTCAATGCTGGAACAGAAACACCCCACTGATAACCCCTTATTGTCCAGTTTGGGTACATTTGGGGTGGTTTAGGGGCATTTCAAAGGGGATTTCAGTGCTGGAACACAAACACCCCATTGATAACCCCTTATTGTCCAGTTTGGGTACATTTGGGGTGTTTTGGGGGATTTCAGTGCTGGAACAGAAACACCCCATTGATAACCCCTTATTGTCCAGTTCTGGGTACATTTGGGGTGTTTTGGGGCATTTCAATGCTGGGACAGAAACACCCCATTGATAACCCCTTATTGTCCAGTTTGGGTACATTTGGGGTGTTTTGGGGCATTTCAATGCTCCATAGAACACCTGGTTCTGCTGAGGGTTGGGGATGCTGAGCTGTGCTCCCAGGGAGGGCTGCAGGGTCTGGGTTGGGCTGTGGGGAAGGCTGGGGCTGGTTGGGCTGGGCTGGCGTCCCCAGGTGTCCCCAGGCGTCCCCAGGTGTCCCCAGGTGTCCCCAGGTGTCCCCAGTGTCCCCAGTGTCCCTGTCCTGTCCCTGCAGTTCCGCTGCTGCTCCAGGGCTCTGGCCAGGCCCGTGTCCATGGCTGTGTTCAGCAGGCCTGAGGAGAGCGCGCAGGTGAGGCGCCCTGGCCTTGGGCCTCGTCCTCATCCTCACCCTTCATCCTCATCCTTTATCCTCATCCTCACCCTTCATCCTGATCCCCATCCTGCTCCTTCATCCTGCTCCTTTATCCTCACCCTTCATCCTCACCCTTCATCCTCATCCTCATCCCCACCCTTCATCCTCACCCTTCATCCCCACCCTTCATCCTCATCCTCACCTTTCATCCTCATCCTTCATCCCCACCCTTCATCCTCACCCTTCATCCTGCTCCCTCATCCCCATCCTGATCCTTCATCCCCACCCTCATCTTCCATCCTCAGGACTCAACGCCCCCCTTCCCATGCTTGGTGCCAGCCCTGAGGTGTCCCTGCCCTGTCCCCATGTCCCTGCCCTGTCCCCATGTCCCTGCCCTGTCCCCATGTCCCCGAGCTGTCACTGGCCTGCCCTGTGCAGCCCTGGCAGCAGTTCCTGTCCCCCTCTCTGTCCCCGTGTCCCCCTGTCTGTCCCTGAGCTGAACCTGGCTGTCCCTGCCCTGTCCCCATGTCCCTGATGTGTCCCCATGTCCCTGATGTGTCCCCATGTCCCTGGTGTGTCCCGCAGGTGTCGCTGGCCGTGCAGCCCCGGCGGCAGTTCCGCAGCTCGGCGCTGTCCCTGAGCTGTCCCCTGCCCTGTCCCCATGTCCCTGATGTGTCCCCGTTGTGTCCCGCAGGTGTCGCTGGCTGTGCCGCAGCTTGGCGCTGTCCCTGTCCCCATGTCCCTGAGCTGTCCCCATGTCCCTGAGCTGTCCCCGGTGTGTCCCGCAGGTGTCGCTGGCCGCGCAGCCCCGGCGGCAGTTCCACAGCTCGGCGCTGTCCCTGTCCCCATGTCCCTGAGCTGTCCCCTGAGCTGTCCCCATGTCCCTGAGCTGTCCCCATGTCCCTGATGTGTCCCCATGTCCCTGATGTGTCCCCATGTCCCCGCTGTGTCCCGCAGGTGTCGCTGGCCGTGCAGCAGCCCCGGCGGCAGTTCCGCAGCTCGGCGCTGTCCCTGTCCCCATGTCCCTGAGCTGTCCCCGTGTCCCCATGGCTGTTCCCTGAGCTGTCCCCGGTGTGTCCCGCAGGTGTCGCTGGCCGTGCAGCAGCCCCGGCGGCAGTTCCGCAGCTCGGCGCTGTCCCGGGACATCGACACGGCCGCCAAGTTCATCGGGGCCGGCGCCGCCACCGTGGGCGTGGCAGGCTCGGGAGCGGGGATCGGCACCGTGTTTGGGAGCCTCATCATCGGATACGCCAGGTACGGGGACACGGGGATGGACAGGGGGACACGGGGATGGACAGGGGGACACAGGGACAGACAGGGGGACAGGGGATCGGCACCGTGTTCGGGAGCCTCATCATCGGATACGCCAGGTACGGGGACATGGGGATGGACAGGGGGACACGGGGACGGACAGGGGGACAGGGACAGACAGGGGATTGGCACTGTGTTCGGGAGCCTCATCATCGGATACGCCAGGTACGGGGACACGGGGACAGACAGGGGTACACAGGGACAGACAGGGACAGACAGGGGGACAGGGACGGACAGGGGGACAGGGGGACAGGGACAGACAGGGGATTGGCGCCGTGTTTGGGAGCCTCATCATCGGATACGCCAGGTACGGGGACACGGGGACGGACAGGGGGACAGGGACGGACAGGGGGACAGGGACAGACAGGGGGACAGGGACGGACAGGGGGACACAGGGACAGACAGGGGGGACAGGGGATCGGCACCGTGTTCGGGA